GCTTGTTTGGAAGCGGAGGGAGCCTGTGCCTGCCGACTTCTCTTGGATGAACTATTTAGAAGCGGCTGCGGCTGCGTGCTGGTGAGCTGTAAGATCTTTGGGATAGGGTGCTCTGTAATGATTGATACATTGTGTCAACTTGAGAAGTTTAGAAGTTTGATCAGGTGACTCAGTAGGGGCCCCGTCCTCACTTGTCCTCAACATCCTCATCCTGTGCAAGAGGACACGGAGATGGCCCTGGGTGGCGGTGTAGCCTGCTTACAATATAAGGGAGGAAAAGAGGATTGCCCCCCACTTTGGCTTGCATCTTTGAGTGTTCTCTGTGCCATGTGCCACCCTGCCCTGGGGCCAGCTGATTAAAGTCTAAAACGTTTTTGTTTTTTTTTTCAGACAAGGACTTGCCCTATAGTTCAGGTTAGCCTCCAACTCAGTGATTTTTCTTGCCTCAGCCTTCAAAGGGCTGGAATCACAAGCATTTGCCACCACACCTGGCTACACATCAACATTCTTCTGTGACTGAATGATTCTGTGACTTCCTAGAGTTGGTTAAAGACTAAATCAGATAACACAAGGATCCAAGAACAGCACATGGAACATTAAGCATGAGCTATTTTATTACCATTATCTGGAAAATGATTGAGAGTTGACACAACTAGGTAGTTCTAACACTAAACAAGAACAGTGCAGAGCCAAAAGTCCCACATAAAATGGGCACAGTGGGTGCGACATGCCTATACCCTAGCACTGGGGAGGCTGAGGCAGGAGGATTGCTGTAAGTTTTAGGCCATCTTGTACTACACAGTGAGTTTGAGGCCAGCCTGAACTACATAAGGAGATGCTATCTAAAAAAAAAAAAATTTTTTTTTTTTTTTTTGCAGAACCGGGGATTGAACTCAGGCCCTTGCACTTGCCAGGCAAGCACTTATTCTACTGAGCCATCTCCCTGGCCCCTGAAAATTTTTTAAAAGGCTAAATAACTATTGAACATGAATCCTACTACTAGGCCCACAAAGTTCAGTGAAACATAGGCAACAATGCTGTTTCTTGCCCCACCTACAAACCTAAGAAAAATTCTGGCATGGTGCACCCAGGGTTCCAGGACTAGCATGGCATGCAGTACTGGGGACTGAACTCAGTACCTTGCACTTGCCAGGCAAGCGCTTAGACCAACGAGCTATCTCCTCAGATCCAAAAATTCTTCTTCTATTTAATTGGTCATTGAACGCGCTGCTACACACCATGGAACCAGGTTGCAAACTCAAGAGCTTCCAGTCAGGAGGAAGTAACGGGGCAGAGTCACCTTCCTCCCTCTAACAACAGTCCAGACAAAACATGCGCCTACCTCTCAGGCCCCTGAGTAGCAGGAAATGGGGACAGCGTGACTCGCTGGCTCCCACTGGGAGGTTCTGAGCTCCAGAGCAGGGGGGATCCCAGGGAGAGTTGGAGATGTGGGCTGGAAAGGCCGGGACACTGAGAGTTTGCAGGGCAGGGACCCAAAGATGACACAGGGGCACAGCTTTGGGGTCCCCTAGGAGTCCCAGCAGTCAGAAGAGAAATCTCCCTTCCAGGGCAAGGAGGCGGAGGACAATTCTCAGGGGTTTTTGCTTCAACAGGGGGTTAAAACCAGCCACAGAATTGCTATTCTTGTCCCACCCATCAAAGCGAGTGAGCCTGGCAAGGGTCAAACTGTGTCCAAATAACTGCACAAAAGATAAAGCTCAAGAATTTTTACACAGGTAAAAATTTACCTACCACCCAATTAAAGTCCAGTCCAGTAGCAGATGAACAGGACTGCAAAAGAGAAGGAAAACCCCATAATGAAGATAGAAATCAGCGGTTTCCGTGGCGGCTGAGCAAGTGGTCGGCTGTGCGGCCACTCCTGCGGGCCCTGGCCGCGCGACTGCTGCGCTCCGCGGCGGGAAGCGCCTCCCGCAGGGACTGAATATCAATGCAAGCTTGAAAAAGATACTTTCTTTCTCTTGCGCAATGGCATATCAGTTATACAGAAATACTACTTTGGGAAACAGTCTTCAGGAAAGCCTGGATGAGCTTATACAGTCTCAACAGATCACCCCCCAACTTGCCCTCCAAGTTC